TTAAAGCTATGAAGTACCTTAGAACTTCATAAAATCTTTAAACACCACTAGAATGCAAGCTTCATTGAGAACAAAACTTTCACTCTCTAATCTACTGCCACCTTCGTGCAACTGAGCCCAGCGCTTACTTAGTACATCATCGTCATCAGAATAATAGCTAACAATTACAGAACGTTCTCTACACGCCAGGGCTTCATGACAGTATCTAAGGAATTGGTATTACGATTACGAGACTACAGGTTGTTGAAGTCAGCACCTCTACTTCTAAGGAATTAATTCCATAGAAATAACTGTGAACATGCACCAGTATTTAACAACAGTAATATACGTGCCATCAGTGTTCTAAGCACTTGACTTACTAATCCTCTTAACAAGCCAGCAACCCTGGAACTATTATTAGCTTCATTTTATGGTTGACAAAAGTGAGGTCAGGGACATTAATTAACTTGTACAGGGTCATAGAACTGGATTGCTGTAGCCAAGATCTGAAACCAGGCTGCCTGCCTCCAGGGTCTATGCTTGTGACCACTATGCTATATTGCTCCCAACATAATTCCTATAGGTGCTATTTACACAAGGGACTGGAATACCTAGACATCTACCAACAAGGAACTGTTTTTCAAAAATTAACCAAAAATATAGAAAATCATTCATCCACTTAAAATAACAGTGTAGAGGGGCGCCTGAGTGGCTCAGTGGGTTAAAGCCTCTGCCTTCGGCTCAGGTCATGATCCCAAGGGTCCTGGATCTAGCCCCACATCATGCTCTCTGCTCAGCGGGGAGCCTGCTTCCTCCTCTCTCTCTGCCTGCCTCTCTGCCTACTTGTGATCTCTGAGTGTCAAATAAACAAATAAAATCTTTAAAAAAAAATTTTAAAAAAAATAACAGTGTAGAATAGTCAGTGACATAAAAAACTTGTTCAATATCGGGGTGCCTTGCTGGCTCAGTTGGTAGCACATGTGACTCTTAATCACAGGGTTGTGAGTTGGAGCCCCACATGTGGCAAAGAATTTACTGAAAATAAGTAAAAAGAAATATAAGGAAAAAAACAACTTGTTCAATATAGGGTTAAGAGAAAAAATTCTGGTCATCTGGTTTTAAAGGAAAAATACTCTTCCAAGTGTTAACAATGGTAACCACTGGGTATTAAAATTGTAGATGATTGTTTGTTTGCTCATCCGTATTTTCTAAATGTTCTATAATATATTCCTTTTCCCAAAAAAAGAAAACAGAAAAATGGAAATTTTTTAAATTAAAAGAAAAATAAAAGGGAAATCTATGTCTAAACCTGTATTAGAGATTTCCTGGCAAAACATATACAGATTGTGCTCCATTTGCCAAAAAAAAAAAAAAAAAGAAAGGAAAAAGGGAAGATCAAGATTGTAATGGTTATTCTATGTGTCAAATAAACTGAGCTCAGGGATGCCCAAATCACTGGGAAAACACTACTTCTGTGGATTCTGTGATTTTTACAAATGCTATCTCTCTAATGCTTTCATGTACAAAATGGGATTTTCCTGTTTTCTTCTAAGAGTGGTACAGTCTTAGGTCTTACATTTAAGTCTTTAATCCACCTCAAGTTAACTTCTGTGAGCAGGGTAAGATACAGGTCCAATTTTATTATTTTTCATGTGCCTGTCTAGTTTTTTTAACACCACTGATTGAAAAGACTACCTTTCTCCATGAAGTATTCTAGCTTCTTGTCAAATTTTAGTTGACATATGTGTGTGGGTTTATTTCTGGGCTCTCAATTATGTTCCTGGATCGATGTTTGTACCATACTGTTTTGATTGCTACACTCCGTGATACAGCTCGAAATCAGAAAATGTGGTATCTCCAGCTTTGCTCTGCCTTCACAAGACTGATTTGTCTATTCAGGGTCATCTCTGGTTCTATACAGTTTTAGAATTTTTTTCTATTTCTGCAAAAAAATGGCATTTGAATTTTGATAGAGGTTGCATCTATAGATGACTTTGGGTATTATGAACATTTTAACAATATTAATTCTTCCCATCCATAAAAGTAGAATATTATCCATTTCTTTTTGTCTTCTTCAATATCTTTCAACAATGTCTAATAGTTATCAGTGTACAGATCTCTCACCTCCTCAGTTAAATTCCTGAGTATGTTACTGTTTTTGATGCTACTGTCAGTGGAACTGTTTTCTTTCTTTTACAGATTGCTCATTGTTCATATATAGAAATGCAGGTGATTTTTATATGTTGATTTTGTATCCTACAGCTTTACCAAATTTGTTTATCAGTTCTAAGAGTTTTATGGTGGCATCTTTAGGGTCTTTATAAATAGGATCATGTTATCTGCAGAGACAATCTTATTCTTCCTTTTGATATGAATGACTTTTCTTTTTCTTGGTCTGTGTAGGACTTCCAGACCTTATTCAATAGGAACGATGAGAGTAAGCAACCTTGCCTTGTTCCTGACCTCCAAAGGAAAGTTTTCAACCTTTTACCATTGAGTATGATGACAACTACAGCTTTGTCATACATGATCTTTATTATGTTAAAGTATGTTCCTTCTCTAACCAATTTGTTGGAAGATTTCATCATAAAAGGGTACTGAATTTTGTCACACACTTTCTGCATCTATTGAGAGGATAGATATAGATATAGCCTTCACTCTACATGGTGTATCACATTAATTGATTTGCATATGTTGAACCGTCCTTTTACCATGGAGATACAACCTCCTCGACCACAGCATATGATCCTTTTAATGTACTGTTGAATCCAGTTTCCTAGTACTTTGTTGAGAATTTTTACATCAACGTCCATCGGAACACTGAGCTGTAGTTTCCTCATCTTGTAGTGCCCTTATCGAGGAGTTTTGGTATCAGGGTAATGCTGGCCTTGTTAAAATGAGTTTGAGAGTGTTCCCTTCTCTTCAGGTTTTTGGAAAAATTGGGAAGGACTAGCATTAATTCTTCTTTGACTCTCTGATAGAATTCACCAGTGAAACCATCTGGTCATGGGCTTTTTCTTTCTTTCTTTCTTTTTTTTACTAGAAGATTTATATTACTGATTCAATCTCCTTAATCATTACTGGTCTGTTCAGATTTTCTTATTTCTTAATGATTCAGTCTTGGCAGGCTCTACATGTCAAGGATATTATCCATTTCCTCTAGATTATCCAATCTGTTGACATACAATTACATACAATTATAATTGACATACAAAATGCATCTTATGATCATTTGTATTTCCATGATATCAACTGTAATGTCTCCTCTTTCGAGTCTTCCCTGTTTTCCTTGGTTAGTCTAGCTAAAGTTATACTTAATTTTTCAAAAAACCAATTCTTACTTTCATTGATTTTGTTTCCATTGTCTTTCCAGTCTCATTTCATTCACCTCTGCTCTATTCTTCAACAGTTCCTTCCTTTTGATAACTTTGGGCTTAAGTTGTTCTTCTTTTTCTAGTTCCTTGAAATGTCAATTTAGGTTGTTTATGTGGAGACCTGGAGTCTCAAATCAGGCAAAAGACACAAGCCATACTGAAGGAAACTAAATGAGGAATATCACTAGTATCTATGCAACACAACACAAATTCTTCAATGACCAGACAACTGTACCCATAAGCATGAACATAAGCATGGACGCTGTCCACTGCTTCAGACAACTACAGATAGAGCTTCCAGGAAATCTGGCAGGAGGCCTAATAAAAACTGAGCAGTAATGCATAAGGCAAATTTAATTTAACTTGGTTTTTAATGCCAAAGACTGGGCCCTGCAGAAAGGGGAAATGAGGAAACAAATATAGAACCAGATAGAATTTTTGTTTAAAAGTAGTTCAACCCCCTACTCAACAAACACATTTTTAGCTCTATGACCTTTTACTTATGCCATTTTCTCTGCCTGGAAGACTTCCCCCTAATCCCACCACTTGTCATTTCTTTAACCTCACTTGTCTTTCATGATTTAGCTCAAACATCATCCCCTTAAGAAAGTGTTTTCCAAAGCTGCAGTGTGACATACTTGCTTTCACAGTAGCCTTTCAGAAACAATTATTGCACATCTGTCATTTGACAGGCACCTGATGCACTTCCCCTTTATAACACCTATTTTGTACTATAAGATTATTTTCATTGAACTATTTACATTTTTTACTCCTATGCATCCCAGGACCTCATCAGTGCCTCTGGGCATCCTTAGTAAATGCCTTGAGGCTCCCATGAAGTATCAGGTGCTAGAGATCAGAGTGATTCAGAAGTTGCCCCCGCCCTCAGGGAGCTCATAAACAAGAGAGAAAAGAGGAGATTAACAATTATAGCTCACAATAGGATGAAAAACGCTGTAAATAATACCATGGGCAAAGGAAGCTTCTGGGTTCTCTGGTGAGGAGGAGATTGGGTATACAGCCTTTGTACAGAAAAACTTGTTCAGTGTCCTGAATCTGCCTTGCAACAAGCTCACCAAATGTACTTATCGGCCTTATAAATAGCCTGCACACCACTCACCATTAGCTCATGGAGGATGAGTCCATTTGCATTACATTTCTTCCTCTGCAGAGTTAAACTGCATTGAAGAAGCTAGGTATTCATCCACTTACAGAGCTGTTGTAACAAGCTAAGTTCAGACCAAGGAATGAGAGAAGGAGGCCAAAAGAAAATGTGTAGCATCCACAATCTTTCATCTGCAACTACGTATCAGTATTGCAATCATTCTATTATTGGTCTCTAAGCAGCTGGTTTGGTTGGAAACCAAGTTTATGCAGAGCTGCTACAACCATAAAAAAATATATATATATTCCCCTGTGATTAAGGAGTAAAATGAAAGGTGTTAAATAAATACAAAGAAAAGACAGCGCTTTCTGAAACCCATTCTGTCTTGCCTGGAGCGTAAAGCAGAAGCCAAGTGACTGAGAGTAGGTGGGGAAGAGTGAGAATTCACGAGGTGGTGGTGTCCTAACTTCCGCTCTCAGTCCCTGATGACGCTCACCCAACAAGCTCTTTCCAAAATGGCACAGGCAAAAGAGGAAAAGTACCTCCGCAGTTCATTCATAACCTTGAACGCCTTCCCCATGTGGGCAGAGTTGACAGTGATCGTCCTCTGGTTCTTCTCATCACCCCCGGCCTGAACCAGGGGCTGGGAGCTCAGCTTGATGCTGTGAACAGGAAGGGAGTGGGAGGGTGAAGAAAGGATCACATGTTGGTAAACCCATTCACCCAGCTGCCACAACTCAGTGCAACTGCCCACCCACCAGAAGCATCTTTGTCAGCTTGTTTTCTTCATCACAGACTCAGCAGGGGAAGAAATGCCCTGGGTCAGCCATTTCTGCAGGATCTTCCAATACAACGTAGGTTCCTCTGGTGGAAGCCAAGTCCTTAGTCAGCTTCTACCAGCACTTTTGTGACTTTATGGGAAGACCTTAACCTCCACCCACCACGCACTAAAGGGGTGGGGACATGGGAGAAAAGTAAGTGCTACAGCACTCACTTCACAGGGAAATTTGTTCATTCAACAAACATTTAAAGGAGACTACCATGTGCCAGGCACTGTATTTAAATTTAAGGGAAACACAACAACAAACAAGGTATAGACAGCTGCTCTTGCAAAGCTTAGAGCTCAGTGTAGGAGGAAGCCTAGTAAATACCTAAACATTTTATATTGATTTTTTAAATTTAAATTCAATTAATTAACATATACTGTATTACTTGTTTCAGCGATACAGGTCTGTGATTCATCAGTCTTATATAACCTAAACATCCTATCTTAAGTATGATGATTGGACAGGAGGTAGAGAAGCACAGAGGACAGGTAACTACTCCAGTGCTAGCAGGATGAGGGGACACTTGCCAGAAGCTAAGTGAGAGCAGAAATCTCAAGGAAGAGCAAAAATAAAATGGTTAAAAAGGAGGATGGAGAGCATCCTGGCAGAGGAAAGAGGAGATACACAGAGACCTGAAGAAAGAGAGTCAAGGGAGTTCAGTAAAACCAGGAGTATCTCAAAAGCAAAGGTTAGAAGATGGAGCAGTCCTCTAAGTGTCATATTAGCAAAGCTAAGGGGTTTGGATTTCTGAGCAGCTTCTGAGACAATGAGAAGCCATCAAAAGGAGAGAGAAGTGGGAGAGGAAGCAGGTGAACACATTTGTGCTTGAGAAAGACCATACACTGGCTGTGGTAAGGAGCATGAAAGCTTCTGGAAAACCATAATCCCATGGAATGACAAGGGACTGTCACTGTTATGAAAAGAAGGTTTAGCTGTAGTTGGTGCAGCCACTTTGGAGAACAGTGTGGAGATTCCTCAAGAAATTAAAAATAGAGCTTCCCTATGACCCTGCAATTGCACTACTGGGTATTTACCCCAAAGATACAGATGTAGTGAAAAGAAGGGCCATCTGTACCCCAATGTTTATAGCAGCAATGGCCACGGTCGCCAAACTGTGGAAAGAACCAAGATGCCCTTCAACGGACGAATGGATAAGGAAGATATGGTCCATATACACTATGGAATATTATGCCTCCATCAGAAAGGATGAATACTCAACTTTTGTAGCAACATGGATGGGACTGGAAGAGATTATGCTGAGTGAAATAAGTCAAGCAGAGAGTGTCAATTATCATATGGTTTCACTTATTTGTGGAGCATAACAAATAGCATGGAGGACAAGGGGAGTTAGAGAGGAGAAGGGAGTTGAGGGAAATTGGAAGGGGAGGTGAACCATGAGAGACTACGGACTCTGAAAAACAATCTGAGGGGTTTGAAGGGGCGGGGGGAGGGAGGTTGGGGGAACCAGGTGGTGGGTATTAGAGAGGGCATGGATTGCATGGAGCACTGGGTGTGGTGCAAAAACAATAAATACTGTTATGCTGAAAATTAATTAATTAATTTTAAAAAAAAGAAGGTTTAGCTGTGTGGGCGAAGTGAGCAGGTGAGGACTAACGAGTCATTCATAACCTCAAAGTCCTCTGTACTGAAGACAAAACACTCAAATCCCTATGGGATGCCAACTAGATGCCCAACTACTTCTGAGCAATAAGTCTCAGCTTTATGGGAGGTGGGGTGGGGTGTAAAAAATTAGCTAAAAAAAAGTACTTTTAAAAAAATATTAGCACAAAAAAAAGAGGACTTCTTTCCGCCTAAACTAATGAAACTTTTCAGCTCCAAGATCAAGTCCAGGACCTTGGAGATGTGTCTGTTCTAAGAGGAAAACAGAACCTTCTCCACTTGCGTAGATTTAGGGACTCACAGTTCACTCGAACTCTAGTTTAAAGATACTTTGCTTTGCCTTTGCCTGGTATGCCTCCTTCTAGGCGACTACCTAGACTTGCAAACTGGCTCAAGAAAGGGGCTTCTGTGGTTAAGAGAATGTTCCAAAGACCTGGTAATCTCTACAGATCTTACAGTGAAATCTGTAACTATTAGAACATTCAAATACAACCAGCAGGGACGCCTGGGTGGCTCAGTCAGTTAAGTGTCTGCCTTTGGCTCAAGTCATGATCCCAGGGTCCTGAGATCAAGTCCTGTATCGGGCTCCCTCCTCAGCAGACAGCCTGCTTCTCCCTCTGCCTGCTGCTCCCCCTACTTATGCTCTTTCTCTCTCTGTCTCTCTCTCTCTCTGACCAAAAAAAAAAAATCTTTAACAACAAAAAAAACAAAAATCAAATACAACCAGCATGCAAGACCTACAGTTTGTCTGACCATGACAGACTCCTCCTTTGGCTTCCTTCCTCCCCTTCAGTTCAGCATGCAAATATAAGGCCACAGTCATCTGAACTTTGGGACTATTCAAATTCTGGGGGCAAGGAAGTTACCTGAGCACAGGAAGATAAATAGCAAGACATGCACGAAGGCAGATGATTAGAATGATATCCTTAAGGAGGTTAAAAAAAAATTGATCTCAAAAACATTAGAAGATATGATCAAGGTGAAGGAGCACTCAGTAAGGTAAAATATTTCATATGAGAAATTTTACAAGCATTATTTCTTTTATAGTCAGTGCCTTTCAAAACAAGGGAACATATGGGGAGGAGGAATAGAAAAAAACAAGAGGGAGGAAATCAAGTCATAGAAGACTCTTAGAGAACAAATTGAGGATTGACAGAGGGAGGTAGGTGGAGAATGGGCTAGATGGGAGATGGGCATTAAGAAGGGCACTTGTTGGGGCACCTGGGTGGCTCAGTGGGTTAAGCCGCTGCCTTTGGCTCAGGTCATGATCTCAGGGTCCTGGGATCGAGCCCCGCATCGGGCTCTCTGCTCGGCAAGGAGCCTGCTTCCTCCTCTCTCTCTGCCAGCCTCTCTGCCTGCTTGTGATCTCTGTCTGTCAAATAAATAAATTAAAAAAAAAAAAATTATAAAAAAGAAGAGCACTTGTTGTGATGAGCACTGGGTGTTGTATGTAAGGGATGAACCACTGAATTCTACTCCTGAAACCAATATTGTACTATCCGTTCTCTACCTAAAATCTAAATTAAAAAAAAAAAAAAAGGCAGTGTCTTTCCTTATGTCAAGGCCAAAAAGATATTTTCTATTTTCTACTAAAAGTTTAACATTTTTGTTTTTGATTAATGGCTGTTATTTTATCTGATGTTGATTTTTATGTCACCATGTGAAATACAGTTCTAATTTTTTCCCATACGTTCCACTTATGGAATACTTATTTTTCCCACTTACCTGTCATGCCACCTTAGGTCACATGTCAAAGTTCCAAATACAGGGATCTATTTCCAGACTCTCTAAGTTATTTCATTTGGTCAGTTTATCTGTCTACATTATTTCTGTAACTTCATTATAAGGCTCGATACCTGACAGGGCAACTCCTCAATCCTATTATTATGCTTCAAATGTATCCTCACTATTCCAGTTTCTTTACTCTTTCATCCAAATTTTAGTATCAGTTTGTTAAGTTCTATGAACGACTCATAGGATATTGATGGAAACCACACTGAATTTATAGATCAATTAGGACAGAACTGATACTTTCTGATATTATGTCTTCCAATCATGAACATGTAATATCTCTCTCCATTTATTTAATCTTCTTTAATGTCAAACCTTTATATTTTTCTATGACGACCTTACACACATTTTTTATTAAAGTTATTAAGTACTCTAAGATTTTTGTTGTTTTTTAACAATAGCAATGGTGCTTTTTTGAACTGTATTTTCTGACTGTTACAGTTTATAAAATGCAATTGATTTTTGCAAATTACTATCCAGCTGCCTTACCAAATGTTCTTATTTCTTTATTTGTCTGAAGAGTCAATAAAGTATTCTATGTAAGCAATCCTATTAACCTGCATATATAGAGGGGGTTTTTTCCCCTCCTTTCCAATGTTTAGGCCTCTAATTTTTTTTTTTTAAGAAATTGTGCGCTGCTAGGATGGCCACACAATGTTGAACAGAAAGTGTGCTAACAAATACTCTTATCATCTTCCTGATTTTACAGATGGTGTTTCTAATGTTTCCCCATTGTGCATGTTTGTTGTAGGATTTTTACAGATGACCTTAATCAAATTAAGAAAATTCCTTGTATTTTACTGCTTTTTAATCATAAAGTTATACTGAATTTTATCAAATATTTCTGTGAATCTAATGACCTGATCACATGGATTTTTCCCTTTAATCTTTTTTTTTTAAGATTTTACTTATTTGTCAGAGAGAGAGAGAGGACACGCTCAAGCAGGAGGAGCAGCAGGCAGATGGAGAAGCAGGCTCCCCACTGAGCAAGGAACCCAATGTGGAACTCAATCCCAGGACCCTGGAATCACAACCTGAGCTGAAGACAAACACTTAACTGACCGGGCCATCTAGTCATCTTTTCCACTTTAATCTTTTAATGGGGTAAATGATACTAATATATTTTCTAAAACTAAACCATACTTGTATTCCTGGGATAAATCTAGAAATTGCAAAAAGACTTCACAAATATTCATTATAAATGCTGTCTTCAAATTGTAAAGCGACTTAAAAGCCAACAGAAAAAATATGTAATTTGGTACTGATTAAAGAATGACTGAAGGTTTTTGACGAGGAACTAATTTGAGCTCCTAAAAGCCCAGTGGACAGACATTATTAGTTCTATTTCACATATATGGAATAGGACCATCTTGGAAGCACTGACAACAAACTCCAGCCTGACCAGTGAACAGGAAGGCTTTCTC